ATTCCCGGCCCATTTGCCGTCGTTTCTCCGTCCGCTGAGCTGCTGTCAATTTCCGATTTCTGTCAATTAACAATTTATACTGCAACATTTATTTCGGAATAATCTGGATGTTACAACATGTTTTTAATTCTGAGTTAAGGCTGTCGTTTTATTGAAAAATTTGAATTAAATTAATGCTTTTAGATTATTGTTATTAATTTGTGCGTAAACCTATTTAAATAGTTTATTTCCATTAAAATCAATTAAACACTAGTAAAAATATATTTTATTTTGTATTTTCATATAAAATCCGAAACGACTCGAAACTGACTGACTCGATCAATTAGGCCCCAGAGAACGTATGCCGCTCCCCTGGCCGCTCCAATGTTTTGTAAATACGGCCCAGCTTGTCCCAATGCTATTGCACCAATGGCCACAGAAAAAAATGTCTAAAATTTCAAAAGTTAATTAAAAGTAGAGTAGAATAATTGTTTTTAATCATCAAACAAAGTTAAAAAGTCAGTTTATTGTAATTTCTGTCAATTGAGACAAAAAATTTAATATTTGATAGTTACTATCAAAACTGATCCAAGAGTCATCTCTTCATTCATGATCATCTGTCCTCCGTACCAAAATGCTAAGGAATAAGAACTGTACATTACAAGAAAAACCACTCCCATTCCCCCGCCGTTCACAATTCCTTTGTAGATACCAAACTTTTTGGCCTCATCTAAATTTTTCTCATACCTTAACAATTTTTTATTATATGAACAAACTGTGAAAATATAAATATTGAAAAGTACATATAAATATTGGAAAGGTCAACGAACCTTTGACATTCTTTTTTTTGCCCACTGAATGCAACAACAGTCCTGATGGCAGAAAACACTTCCTCGGCTACTGCACCTGCTTTCGCGTAAGCTGCTAACTCCTTACTCGTTGTCGCTGATATCAGCTAAAGAGTTAATGTAATAAAAACAATGATAAAAATTACTGAAACTCGATTGAACATAGAGGAAGAGCAAACGTAAGTCATGAGTCCTCCTGCAACGGCAAGCAACGGAGACATCGCGAGAACCACGAGACCCAACTTCCAGTCATAAGACAAGCCAATCACAATCCCAGCCACGAAAGTTGCAAGCCAATGACATAAATTACTTATCTTATCACCGATTCCTTCTTGTATTTTGTTTACGTCTCTGTTGATAAAAATAAATAAGCTATTGAAATGTACCAAAACTCATTCCAGCTTCTATAAAAACTTACTCTGAAAAGCGGGTGCTTAACTCGCTAGTTTCATGTGTGTCGAACCATCCAAGTTCTTGATGGACAACTGATGAGAACAACTTCATCCTCAGTTTCAAGATTTGTCTGTAGGAAACGACGAGAAAGGAAGTGACTTCCACGTAGCCCACCACCAGAACAACTACTCCGATTACTAAGCAGTTTCAACACGGTTAAACGATTTGTAAGCTTTTCGTTGTATTTATATGCAATCTCAATTGGATATAAAATTGAAAGTTCAACAACTATTAAATAACAGACATAATGTAAAATGATGATCACAAGTTGAAACGTAAAAAGATTAAATTCAACTTATTGAACTTAATTACATACTTGCGTAATATATGCAGCTTGTTTCAACTTGGTTCAGGAATGTTTCTTTTCTAAACGGAATATTTAACAAGAAATGTACTAATATAACATATGAACTAAAAAAAACGAAGCAAAATGATTGGATGATAAAC